GATCATAGGATCATAGATTTAGAGCCAGAAAGGGTCTTAGAGGCTTTCTAGTCAAACCCCCTCATTCACAGATGAGGAAACTGAGTCCCACAGAGGTTAAGTGATTTGCACAAGGTCATATAGATGCTAAGTGGCAGAACCCGGGATGTAAACCCAGGTCCTTTGATTCCAAATCCAGAGCTCTTTCTGCCGCTCAGTGTAGTTGTTGTATAAATTGTTTTCCTGGTTCTGCTGACTTCACTTTGCATTAGTTCATGTAAGTCTCCCCTCGATTCTTTGTGTTCGTTATGTTTGTTTTTTATAATACGGTAATATTCCATTGCATTCCTGTACTATGCTTTGTTTAACCATTCCCTAATCAATAGGCGTCTACTTTGTTCCCAGTTCTTTATTACTATAAAAAAATACTGTTATAAATGTTTTGTTTTAAATGGGGCCTTTCTTTTTATTATTGACCTTGGGATTATATACCTCGTAGTGGGATATTTGGATTAAAAGGTATTTTAGTAATTTTCTTTAAATAATTCCAAATTTCTCTGGTGGTTTGACTAATTGTATGCCTCATGTCTTTCCATAACTCCCCCAACATTGGTAATTCTCTTCTTTTTTCCTCTGCTAGTTTACTGGGTGTGAAGCAAAATTTAAGAGTTGTTTTGATTCACTTTCTCTTATTAGTGATTTGGAGTGCTCCTTTATGTGGTTGTTAATAATTTGTGATCCTTCTTTTGAGAACTGTTCATAACTTTTTACCAGTTATTTATTGGGCAATGACTTTTGGTCTTAAATATTTTTGTTGGTGCTATTTGCATTTCCCAAATAGATTTTGTTAGTTATCTGGTTCTATGAAGAACTGGTGTTTTTACTGGTATGGTAATGTAGATTTGGGAATATTGTTTTTACTATATTGAGCCAATAGATGTAGTGCACATGTCTTGATTTCATTTTCTTTAAAACTTTTAAAAATTATTTTGTATCCTGAATTTAACAAACACCATAAAAAAGCAGAAAAGAAAGAGGATTACAAGTGAAACTGATTTTTTTTTTATTACATACAGCTTGTTTTATAAAAAGTACATCACTTATTCAACATGCTACTTTCACAGCAGGTCTTCTGTGTATTTACTTCTGAACTCCTCCTGTGAATTGAAAAATATGCTTCAGTGACACCCCCCCCCCGCCCTTTTTTAGGGGGAACAGTAAGTAGTTTTCCACCCAGCTCTCTCCCACAATCCCTGTAGCAAGTAAGCATTCTTAAACAAAACAAATTCATACACTTGCTGTATCCAACAATGTATGTTTCATTCTACGCATCAAGCTGATCGCTTCTCTTTCACGAGGTGGGTAGCATACATCATCATAGGTCCTCTGGAATTGTAGTTCGTTTTTACATTGATCAGAGTTCTTAAGTCTTTCAGAACTGTTCATTTTTAGTATCATATAAATTATTCCCTTGGTTCTTCTCACCTTACTGCACCACCTCATACAGGTCTTCCCAGAATTCTCTGAAACCATCCCATTTGTCACTTCTTTTAGCACAGTAGTATTACATTATACTTTTATAGCGTAATTTCTCAAGCCATTTCCCACATGATGAACACTCTTTTAGTTTCTGATATTTTGCCTCCCCTCAAAACCTGCTATAAATATTTTTCAAAATAAGAGTCCTTTTCTACTTTCTTTGATCTCTGGGCATGGGGCTAGTAGTTGTATTACTAGATCAAAGAGTATGACAAGTTTAGTAACTTTTTGCTCATAGTTCCAACTGGGCTATTTCTTATATCCTCCAACAGTACGTTAATGTGCCTGTCTTCCTGTAGCCCCTCCAACAATTGTCACTTTACCTTTTTTGTCATCTTTGCCAATCTGTTAAGTGTGAGTTAAAATTTAATATCTTGTTAATTTGTATTTCTTTACTTATTAGTTATTTGGAGCATTTTTTTCATAGGGCTGTTGATAGCTTGGATGTTTTCCTTTGAGAATTGCTTGTTCATTTAATCTGGGAAGTCTTTTTTTTTTTTTTTTTTTTTTTGGCTTAAGCAGTCAGAGTTAAGTGACTTGTCTAGGGTCACACAGCTAGTAAGTATCAATGTGGAGAACTCTTGATTTCATTTTCATGATTGATCTTACTCGAAGTGCTTAAAGGATGAAAAGCAAACTCCAGAAGAAACCGAGGCTAAGAAGATCTTAGCAGGAACTTAGATTATTAATTAGAAGCCATAGCAGAATGCAACCGATGAACTGGAGAGATGGATTTCTTGCATAGAAATATATCTTTTAATGTGGTAGCAATAATTCAATATTTGATAATGGGAAAGCAGAAAAAATGTTTCACAGTTGTATGGCCACTTAACACATTTTATGGCAGGCGTTTGTTATAGAGATTCAGCTTTTTTAAAAAAGAACTATCAAACGTCCTGATTAAAGATAGGGTCAGTTTTTTCTTTTAAAGCAAGAATTTGTGGTCTTTGGCCTTTACTTCCCTATCTGTAAAGTGGAGTCACTGCTGCTAAGCTGAACAGTGGTTTTCCTCTAAGGCTTGTGACTTTCAGTAAAGCAGCTACCAGGCAGCTCTGATGTTTAGAGAATCATGGTCACCAAAGCTTGCAGCATCAGTTTCTAGGTGAACTAGGTAGTCTGGCCCTGTTAATGGCCACAGATTGGGTCCGTTATCATGCTGTTGATTAAATGTTACGAAGTAAGAGAAAATGTGAGGAAATCTGTGCAGATCCCTGTGACTGTCATTTTTTTATAGGAAGGGCTGTATATCATTCCAAGTACAAAAGAATCTATTAGTAATTGTGAGTGAAGCAGAATGTAATTAATCATTTTGGAATCTTGGGGCCTACCCAGTGATGCTTGCTACTGTGGACTCACCTGCTGTGGTGAGAAGTGATTAGGGTTTGGAGACATGGATGGTGATTCCAGTTTTGCCCCGGTCTAGCTGTGTGTGTGACCTTGAGCCAGTTCTCTGATTGTCTGAGCTGATCTCCTCTGTGTAAAATGGCAGCAATCATCTCTGCCTGTCCCTCCTACCAGGAAGGCTCTTACCTAGGAAAGGATCCAACTTTGTAATATATAGAAAGTGCTTTGTAAACCATAAAGGTATTGTTACTTAGAGAGCTTATGTCTGGTCCTCAAAATGTCATTCTAATTCTTAATTGAAATAAAAACCTTTTAGATGCAGTTTGGGCTTTTTAATTGTTATGAAGAATAATGACTTCAGAGGTACAGAATGCAACTTTGTTTTTCCCTTCTATTAACAAATTTCTTCTTGTCTTCCTTAATTATACTTTTGTTGCTACTCCATTTGTCCTGACTTGAAAAGCATAGGAAAGCTTCTATACACATGGTTCTTTTTACTGGGTAAGTGCAGTATGTTGGGTAAAGTCCCAAACATTTTTGAATGAGGAGACTTAAAAGGATCTCAGAGCCAGAGCTCAGCCTGAGTAGAGTTCTTCATTTTTACATGAAATAGGATTGGGGGGGAGGGGAATTGAAGCTGCTTTTGCTAGGGCAGGGGAGGACAGGCGCACAGGGCAGGGCCCAGGCTTTAAGCTTGAGATTTTCCCTTATTCCTTAGAAATGGCTCCTTGTTTTTAAACCTTGCTGTTACTGGCAAGCAGGAGGATTACTTAAGAAGCACAGTGCTTTTGATGGTTTTTTTTTTTTTTTTTGGGAAAGTTTTCCTGACTGCATTTAGAATCTTTTTAGTATTTACTTCCTTTACTTTGCTTACTTCCTTAAAACCATTTGAGCCTTTAGGAAAGGCTCTCAGTGAGGTCCTTTTCTGTACACTGTAAGAAAAACACAAATGCAGAGTGGGGATTTGCACATGTTCTTTTCACGGATAAAAATATAAAGATATTAAAAGCAAACCCTTCCCAAAAACTCTGAGGAAAAGTAAAGTTCCCCTCCTGGCACAGAAAGCCATCTCCCGATGGTTGAATGTTGGTGGTTACTTTTGTTTTCAGAAATAAGGTGAACTTTAACCTAAGGTTGGCTGTCTCATCAGGAAGATTTAGAATTAATTTATTTAGTGTGTTCAGGAATGTGCATGTGAAGTGGATGTGATTTAAAGGTTTCCTTGTTCTGATTTATAGGATCATAAATTTAGAGCTGGAAGGGACCTTAGAGGTCAGTGACTCCAGCCTTTCCCATTTTATGGATGAGGAAAGCACGAGGTGGAGAGGTCGGGTGACACGCCCGGGTCATTAAGCTAGTAAATGTCTGAGAGGTGAAGGAAGGTCCCGGACTAATTAAGTGAGCTCAGCTTGATGTCCCAGCGTGTGTGCTGATGGCCTGATGACTGGTCACTCTTCTTACAGGTTCAGAGCTACGTAAAATACATTTTCAACAAATTGTTTTAGACGTGGTAGATTTTTTAAAGTGACCACAGAAATAAATTCGTGTGGCTTATTTTTATTATTTTTTTTACTCTCTGTCACCTCAGTATCCAAATGCTTCTGCTTGACCTCACCTTCACACTTTTCACCCTTTTCTTTTTGAATGCACAAGTTAGTTCTTTTATTTTTGTGTGGACTCTTGGAGTAGGAGCCTTAGAACAGAGCACAGGTTTGGTGTTACAGGAACTTAATAGATGTTTTCAAATTGAGTTGAATTGCACTGAAGACTAAGCCGAATTTGAGAGCTGGGAGGGACCTGAGAAGGTATGAACTCACCCCTCCTCATTTTACAGATGGAGAACAGGGTCTCAAAATGCCTCGTGCGGGGGTGGGGGGGTGGGGTCTGGCAGCTCATGAGTGACAGAGCTGAGCGCAGACTAGGGAGCTCTCCCCATGGTCCTCAGAACACATATGTATGCAGCCTTTCTCCTTCCCAGTGCAGGCCTGGTCAGGGAAACCAAAGGGCGGGTGCCAAGGGGTTGCCGGCGGCCCCTTTACTGGATATGCCAGGAAGAGGAGCTCATGGTGGTGGTCGTGGGTGGTACTGTTGCAAATGAGTATTGTGGTTTGCTGTCTCAAAGACCTTTGTCCTTTTAGGTACTGTCTCACAATCTGTGTACGGTGCTGAAGGTTCCACATGACCCCGTGGCCCTGGAGGAACACTTTCGGGATGACGACGAGGGGCCCGTCTCCAATCAGGGCTATATGCCATATTTAAACAAGTTCATTTTGGAAAAGGTAGGAGGCCAATTTCTCACCTCTGTAGTCTGTCCTTGCTTACGGTTCTTTCAGTAAGCTGCTGTTTTTCAATGGTGCCTTTGAGGCGGTGTTGGCAAGAGAGACACTCAGTCTCTGTTCACTTCAAGGAGGAGTGCTTAGAAAGAGCGAACTTGGAGCCTGGGCAGAGGTAGAAGAGAGTGTCAGGATTCAGGAGAGGCAGGCAGGCAGGCTCACATCCTACACCCACTGAGGAATGGGGCTCTGGATGATCCCAGAAGAAGGACTACCTGGTGTGTGGCTTGGGATGAAGCAACTTCCTGGGTGGTTCCCTAAGGGCAGTCCTGAGGAGCCCGTGTGGTCCTGGGGGAGGCAAGGGTACCTTCCTGCTGGCAGTGTAACAGAGGGAGCCCTCAGAGTTCTAGTGCCTTTAGGTAAAAAAGGATTCGTCTTTGAGGAGAAGAGTTCTGTAAACCAGAGACCGAGACCAAATTAATATCAAAATAATAATTAATTTAATTAATAATTAATATTTATGCCCAAGAGGTAACATGCCTCTTGATCAGCTGTCCATTATAGTATAGCTACATAAAATTATATAACATCAGCTTTGATGAATTCCAATTTTTATTCTTCACTGGCTCTGTGATTTCATCTGTATTGGGAGCTCTTGGTGAGATATTTCCTCTATGAATAGAGATTAGCACCTTCTATGCACATGGCACCTTTAGAGAGTTGCCCAGAACACTGAGAAGTGAGGGGACTCCTCATGATCACATGGCTTTCATGTGTTGGAGACGAGGCTTGGACCCACATTATCCATATTATGAGGCTGGCTTTTTATATATTCTTATGTATATTATATATATTATAAATATAATTATTATATATGATATATATTTATATATTCCACTATACCCTGATGCCTTTTAGTTATAATTTATTGAAATGAATTGTGTGGCACACATTCGGTAGTTTTTTAATGACTATCTTTGTATTTGGATCTCACTGTCGAAATTAATTGGGACGGTGTTATAATTGTTTTTTCCCAGTTATCTCTTCATAAGAAAAATTGGAAAGCATAACTATATGTACCACCCAAGGAAGAATAGAGTATGAATTTTGCTTGAATATTTATTTTGCCATTCCAGGGTTAGGGATTCCATGTTGAAATCTAAACCAAGAATTTAAACTTATGCTTCTCTTTAAAACTTGAACAATTTCTGGGTACAGATAATTGGCAAATTAGTGAACAAGTTATTCTGTAACAAGGCATTGGATGTTGAAATCTGGAAGCGTGGATGTAAGTGTTCCTCCTTTGAAAGTGTGGTCAACAAAACCAGACTGTGAGGCTGGTATTCTGTCCTTTGGTTTGGTCTCTGGGTGCTTTAAGTGAGAGTCCCTGGCAGACTTGAAAGAGAAGAATTGGAGACTAGGCAGAAGGAGAAGACTGGGTTAGGATCCAGGTGAGGCAGGCGGATTCATATCAGATAAATTGCCCTTTTATATGGAATGGGAGGCTCTGCGGTGTTTAGGACTGGCTGCAAGTGACACAGTATCATATGCACACAGGAGCATGTGGAGGGCCTCATGGTCTGTAGAGAATCCTGCTTCCATTTTGACTTTGTGCTGCACATCCTCCCGGATGGTGGCAAACCCCTTTGACAAGCGTGGGTCTTCCTGGTTAAGCCTTACTTGGTATTAAAAACCAGAGCATCATTGAACAGAGTTGTCTCTGTTTCATCCTGAAAGGAATTTTGTGTGATTTTGATGTCATCCTTGTTGATTTCTGCTATGTTTGAGGAGAGGCAGGAATTTGCTTTACTTAGTCAACTTTTTAAAACAGAGGTAAAGCAAGATCATTTCTACACCTTTCAGTTGGTTATGTGACTGTAAAGATTTATGCTACAGAATATCCCTTGTTAGGTGTAAAGGCTGATACTGTAAGCAAACTGGGAGAGCAGGGAATAGTTTATGAGATTTATGAAGAGTGGAAGAATTTATGCCCAAACAAGAAATAGAGAACATCATGAAATGTAAAATGGATAATTTTGATTACATTACATTGAAAAGTTTGCACAAATAAGGCTAGTGCAACCAAGATTAGGAGGGAAGCAGAAAACTGGGAAAGAATGTTTACAACCAGTGTCTCTGACAAAGGCCTCATTTCTAAAATATATAGAGAACTGAGTCAAATCTATAAGAATACAGGTCTTTCCCCAGTTGATAAATGGTCAAAGGATATGAACAGGCAGTTTTCATATAAAGAAATTAAAGCTATCTATAGTCATATAAAAAATGCTCTAAATTGCTACTGATTAGAGAAATGCAAATCAAAACAACTCTGAGGTACAACATCACACCTATCAGATTGGCTAACATGACAAAACAGGAAAATGATAGATGCTGGAGAGGATGTGGGAAAATTGTTGGAGTTGTGAACTGATCCAGCTGTTCTGGAACTATGCCCAAAGGGCTATAAAACTGTGCATACCCTTTGACCCAGCAATAGCACTTCTAGGGCTGTATCCCAAAGAGATAATAAAAATGGGAAAAGGACCCACAGCTACGAAAATATTTATAGCAGCTCTTTCTGTGGGGGCAAAGAATTGGAAATTGAGGGGATGCCCATCAGTTGGAGAATGGCTAAACAAGTTCTGGTTTATGAATGTAATGGAATACTACTGTGCTAGAAATTATGAGCAGGCAGACCAGAAAAACCTGGAAAGACTTGAATGAACTGATGCTGAATGAAGTGAGCAGAACCAGGAGAACAGTGTACACAGTAACAGCCACAATGTGCGTTGACTAACTTTGATAGGTGTATTTCTTCTTAGCAATGCAAGCATCCAAGACAATCCCAAAGGACTCATGATGGAAAATGCTGTCCATATCTAGAAAAAAAAACAAAAAACTATGGAGTCTGAATGCAGATTGAAGAATACTTCTTGCTTTCTCTCTTTTTTTTCTTTTTTTGTTTCTTCTTTCTCATGGTTTCTCCCATTGGTTTTTTTTTTCTCGCATTGGTTTAAATTCTTCTTTACAACATGACTAATGTGAATATAGGTTCAGTATGTACACGTAGAGCCAGTATCAAATTGTACACTGTCTTGGAGTGGGGAGAGGGGAGAGATGGGGAGAAAATTTGGAACTCAAAATCTTATGGAAGTGAATGTTGAAAACTAAAAATAAATAAATAAATTAAAAAAAAAAGAATATCCCTTATGAAAACTTGGCTCTTTGCTTCCCATACCTTCATCAAGGATAGTTTATTCATTTGTAAGTTAATTTCATAAAGATTTTGTAGAGATGGGAAAGTAGGCATGTGAGTTGGGAATATATTGGTATTTTCTCAGTTGTTGGGGGTGTGGAAAAGGAGGTAATAACAGAGTATAATTTTTTCCAAGCCAAGATATTCTCTCCTTTTTCTGATATTTTAAGGATTGATCCCCAAAATTGTGTTATTTTTGTATAAACCTCTTTTGAGTATACTTAATCCAGGTGTTATCATTTCCCATTTTCCTTCTTCCTGCCACACTGGGGATGTTCATGTTAGAGTTCCCATATGATGTTTCTGTTGTCATTTATGGAGAAAAATAGAAACGTTGGCACCTTTTCCATTGTTTTGTTTGTCCTTCTACCATTTTCATCCTTAAATGGCCTTGTGGTGATCTGACTTAGTTGAGTCTCTCTCTAAACTTTAGGTAAATTTGTTTTTCCTTCTGTTTCTTTTCTTGTTTTATGAAGTGATCTTCCATATTCTTCTGTAAGACCTTACAGATGAATTTATAGTCTAAGCTAGTGTTGCTGTTGACTTCTCAAGGGGAACAAATATTTGCTGTCTGATATAATTTGTAGGCTCTGTCAGTGTCCTTGTTGTGGTGATTGATTTACATTAGTTAAGCATTCCTAGGAAATGGTGATAGTTCATTCTGATGTTCTTTTATTCTAGTGATTTCTTTTTTTTTTTTAACTACTAAAAAGTTACTACTTTTTTTTTTCTGGATCAGTAGCTTTTAAAAATAGATCAGGTTGCAATTGCCTCAAGTGTCTGCCATATAATTTGGTATTTGATGTTTGCAATAAAAAGTTGATTGTACATAGACTATTATTTGGAAATGATTTCTTTTTCTGTGTGTTAAAATATATCTTTTGTTTTTATGATGTTATTTGGTGTTTTTCATGTCTAGTGCTTCCTCTCTTCTTGAAGGAAATATTGATATATAGATATATGTAGACATATATGTGTAAATGAATATGTTTATGTGAGGCTTCCATATATTACTAAAAACCTTTCACTCTTATTTCTGAACTTTATTTTCCAATATTTTTACTGTCTACACCCACCTTTGCTAAAACATATGTTGATTTAATTTGGACTATTTTATTGAATTCTTTATAGAATTTCTTCATCCCCTCATCCTCTACAACAGATGTTGGAACATGAGCTGCAGTTACATTCATGGTGGCCTTTTTGCAGTTGCTGATCATGAGAGTTACAATGTGAGATGGCTAGGTTTCTCATAAAATATTTCTTGTTGCCTCTAGGCAGAATAAAATACACTACATGTATTTCTTTTTTTTTTTTTAACTTCACCATTTAGCTGCAAGTTCTTTTTGCCTTCTGCTTTGGTTTTTTAGTAATAATGTTAATATTGATATGATTTATTTCTTCCAATTGCATGTCTTTTTGGCCACTGGGCAGGAATCTCACATTTAACCAAGTTAATGCTTATAGGTGTCTAAAAACTGGGATGCTTTTCATTCTCTCATGTCTTTTCTTGTACTCTGCCACCATTACTGCAGAATTCATCTGCTTAGGTCTAATGGTGATTGTTTTTTGTTTGTTTGTTTTGTTTTGTTTTATGGGTTGACACGGTCAGAGAATTTATTCCCCAGTAACCAGGCTCTTGGTGATGAGCCTATCTGTCCTTAGCTGGGCTAGTCCAAAGAAAGAAGATAGAATCTGTTGCTGAGACAGTACTTGGAGCCTTTCTAGTGTGGTAGAAGCTTTTGGAACT